ACTATCATAAGGAAAATCCTGTATTGAACTAAAAGACTTAATTCTTTCCACAGATAAAAGACTCAAATCCTTTAATACTTCTCGTGCTTGAGAGTATCTAGAACTCAAAACAGTACTGACTGTGTCCAACACAAAAAAGTAAACTTGAAATTTAAATAATAAAGATGGTGTGTTGGCAATTTCATTAATTTCATCATGCAAATTCTCTCCATCCATTCTTTTTTTTCTCCTAATTCTGACAACTTGAAAATCTTGTTCCTCGAGCTTTTCATGTATTACAAACTGTTTTACTTCGTCAATTAATTCATTATATTTACAATCATTTCGTAATTCCTCGAGTCGTTTTTGAGCTGAATCGACTAAATTCATTGCTTCAATGAAATCTAATTTAGTTGACTGCATATATACTGAAACTGGAGTTGTAATTTTAAATATCTTTTTCATGAATATCATCATTAAAATAAATTTGTAGGAAGTTACATTTTTAAGCTGACTTATAGCCTGCGATGAAGTAGTACGATCATTTGATAATGTTAACTCCTCCAAACTTTCAACAATAGCAGTATATTTTTCATAAATGACGTCTATAGCTCTATCGTGTGACGTCCAACGTGTAGAAGATAGATATTTCAATCTTCGGCATACTTGACCAGGATACTGCAGTTTCTGGTGATTAATAAAACTTGCCGTGCGTTTTCTTGCTCCAAAATACTCAACTAATGCTTGAATTTCTCCAAAAAAATTACGAGTATCCAAACATGAATCACACATATCTACTATAACCAAGTTTATAACATGAGCACAACACCAAATATATTTAGCACGGGGACATTGTTGTTGTACAAGTGTTCTTAATCCAGAATATTGCCCCTGCATCGCTGCAGCTCCATCATATGCTTGGGCATATAAATTATTTTTCCAATCCAATCCATGTTTTTCGCAAATCTTAGAAAATAGTTGAAACATCCCATGGCCTGTTGCATCCGTTGCTATTTCTAGTGCGATATGTCTTTCTTCTACAATTCCTTCATCATTTACAAATCTTACGACAAACGTGAATTGTTCCATTTTGGAAATATCAGTTGTTGTATCTATAATAACTGCGAACATTCTAGCATCGTTGACTTTTTTTAAAATTACTGATCTTATAGAATCACTCATTATTTGAAGCATAACATTTTGTGTCTGACCAGAAAGAAATGTTATTCTATTTTTTTTTGATGAATTTTCAATTTTATTTAAATGAATAGCTAAAGGAGCATGATATTTTGACAAAACTTTAATTAGAGACAAGAAGTTACCACGATTTTTTGATGTCAAGCTTTCATCATGCCCACGAAATGCTATGTTTTGTCTTCCAAGATACAATAGAATTTCAAATATAACTCTAACTATTTCTCTATTTTCCGCGATTTGGTTATTTGTTGTTAGTCTGAATCTGACATCTAAACGATTATTAGAGGAATACTGACCTCGACTGATTTCTGACTCTAAATGTTCTTTTGCCATCTCATGGTTTAACATTCTTAAAGTAATATGTTTCCAATCTTGAGTGCCAGTTGAAACAAATTTATTTTTTTTAGTCTTTACTAAACCAAAAAGCAAGCAAGAAAAACAGTACATTTTATCCTTAGATGGTGAATATGCTAGCCATTGACGTTTAATATTTTTTCCATCAGGAAGTTTTTTAAAGTAGTACTCTTCGCGGAATGAACGGCCATTTGTTATTGGAAATTTATTAGCGGGCATATCCAATACTCCTGGTTGACATGGTCCCAGTTCAAAAAAATATTGCAACAAATTACTAGATATATTTGTCTCTAAAATAATTGCTGGATCGTTAGGAAATTTATAGTTAGAAGAGGGAATTGGAAGTTCATTATTTTGACTAACAGTAGAACAATCTTGCAAATAATCATCATCAAGTACACCAACTATAGGGAAAAAAGATTTATATAAATTTTCAAATGATTTAAGTAGTTATCAAAATTTATAGTAAACATTTTACAATTTGTAACAGTTTAAATTTATATTAAGTATCTATAATAGGTATAATTTGTTGACTAATTAATTGATTACATTTAATCAATAACAATTTTTTAGATTGCATCAATTATCAAAGCTTAATATATTAAATTTAATAGAAAAAAAATTAAATAAACAAGAAGTAATGAACGGCAAGAATGTTAATTAAATTATTTTTAACTTACATGGAGTTGGACTAGATGGTATATCTTCATTTAAAATATTTTGATCATCCATGTCCATACAATTATGTTTTAATGTTACAGCTGTACTGTCACCAAGCATATCAGTTGTAATACCTAATAACAAAATTTAAACAATTTAAATTGTTTTTTTATTTAAAATAAAATAGTTAACACTTAATTTTTTTTAGAGACAATATTGAATAACATAGTATCTGTTTGAATAAAATCTTACTTACATGAAGTTGGACTAGGTGGTATAATATCTTCATTTAAAACACTTTGACCCTTGGTGTCCATACAATTATGTTTTAATGTTACAGCGGTACTGTCACCAAGCATATCAGTTGTAATACCTAATAACAAAATTTAAACAATTTAAATTGTTTTTTTATTTAAAATAAAATAGTTAACACTTAATTTTTTTTAGAGACAATATTAATAACGCAGTATCTGTTTAAACAAAATCAAAGCTTGGCACTAACCAGTTAGAAAGTTACTTAGTAACTTAAATAGTTAGTTTTAATTCATATTAACTTTGTAACTTAACTAGTTGAATTTAATGTGTACAATATTCTAATCTAACACGTTAAAAAGAATAAGTAACTAGTTATTTTAGTAATATTTTTTTTTAATTAATTGAATGTTTCAATTTCTTATTTTGTTGTATTCTAATGACTGATATTCCAATAAATTAAGGTTATTAGCTACCTATTTGATACATTTGATCAAAATATCAGTTGAGTAATACTTTTAAAAATACTTTTTTTTTGATAAAAATATGTTTACTTTATCAATTTAATAAAAATAATTTGCACATTTCTGGTTTAATTGCGTATGTTGGTTGAAAGGACAGTTAAATAGCTTTAAAATAAAATAAAATTTTGTCAAAATGTTAAACAGTTTTGAAGATACATAAACAAAATTGTGTAATAGGTATGGTTTTGATAAAAACAAGTTAATTGCCAATAACTTAAAAAATAAAAAGTTAGACCCACTCTTTAAAGGGTATTTAATATTTATTCATTATTTTTGGTATACTTACATATGACATCGGCCGGTCAATTCCCCCCGGGACACATTGTATAATACATTACATTTGAAAAACTGGTTTTTTAAATTTATATTTTAAACTAAAAAAAAAACTAACTTCTATATAACTAAGTTAGAAATTTGGTCAATTTCAGAATCTAATTTATATTCTAACTCAGTTACTTTTTATATTGAAGTAACTTAACTTTAACTAGTTGAAATAAGGCCACTAACTTGCCCAGCTTTGAATAAAATCTTACTTACATGAAGTTGGACTAGATGGTATATCTTCATTTAAAATATTTTGATCATCTATGTCCATACAATTATGTTTTAATGTTACAGCTGTACTGTCACCAAGCATATCAGTTGTAATACCTAATAACAAAATTTAAAAAATTTAAATTGTTTTTTTATTTAAAATAAAATAGTTAACACTTAATTCTTTTTAGAGACAATGTTGAATAATGCAGTATCTGTTTAAATAATATCTTACTTACATGAGGTTGAACTAGATGGTATATTATCTTCATTTAAAACACTTTGACCCTTGGTGTCCATACAATTATGTTTTAATGTTACAGCGGTACTGTCACCAAGCATATCAGTTGTAATACCTAATTAAAAAATATAAATATTCTTTGAGTTGTTTTTTTTATTTATAGTGAAATAGGTAGGTAGTATTTTATAATTTAAAAGAAGACACATGCAAATGAAATTTCAACAATAATCAGACATTTTCATAATTTATTTGTTTATTTATTATAAATTATTGGTTTTGGAATCCTCATAAAATGAATTAATCTAAAATTATTTTACTTACCTTCTTTTGGTAAATCGTTAAGTTGATCTATTGTGCGTTTTTTTATAAAAAAATTTGAAACGTCACTTATTGTTTTTGTGTTTTTTAACTTTACTAGATCACATGCAAGTATATGTCTTTTCCAATTTGTATCGTTTAATTTCATTCGTTTTTTTCCACATAAACAAACATAATTATTTGCGTTTGACATTTTACAAATACAAAACTTAACAATCAAATTTAAAAGGTCACAAACTAAGTGCAATAGGTAAAACAACACGGACACACGGTTAAGTCGGTGATGAAGTAATAATATTTATAGGGTTTATCACGTGCGCGAATGCGTGATTCGCGGCTGTCAGCTAGTGAAAGAATTGTGAATACAGGCGGTGGCCAATGTCTTATTTTGATAGTGGTCAATAATTGATTCGTGTAAATAACATATTTTCCATTTATTTATAAAAATAGAATTGAAAATAATTGTATCGTTCTGCATGTCGCATGTAGGTATATGTTTTTATACATTATACATAATATTATGGCAGTATATAAATGTACAGTGTTTCCCGCACTCTGGAGATAAGAAATATACAATTACCAAACTATTTATGAACATTTCTTAATTTCCAGTAATAAATACTATACGCCATACGCCGCCATGTTATGCGATACGCATTACATACAACAATATAGCATAGTACGTTTTGTTAGTCGTTACCCACGTACTAATATATTGACAGCTGACTAGTGACTCATATAATAAAATATTTATATATAGTTAAATATAAAAATAATTTTATGACCTAACGAATTTACCCACCCACCCACCTAAAATTGTTTGGGGCAGTTGCCCCAAAAAAATAAGGTCGTGACGCCACTGGCTGTGGAGTTCTTAATCCTGACCGAATTCATAATGTATTTCATTTTAATAGACTAGTTACTGCCAAGCCTTGACCCAGTTATTCAACAATGATATGTTGTTTCATTGTGATTTTCTTTAGATGCTCTGTGAGATGAAACAAACAAATTATTTGATTGGGTAGGTATTTATTTTATTTCTTAAATAATTAACACAAGATAATAATGTATACTTAAGGAAAAATATTGTATCAACTGTAAATTTCATAAAGCAAATACACAAATTAGTGATTAAATGTACATTTCAGGGAGGAAGCCTCTAAGAATCACTTGATTTTACGTAGTTGTAGCTCCCAACATTTTAATCAAATGTCCGCCAATGTAATTCTGTTATGATTTATGATATATTAAGTTCTTAATATGTTATTGAAATACTAATATATAGAATCTAAAGTAACAGTTGTGTTTAAAAATTTAAATTGCATTGATAGATACAGAATTTTATTTTACCTAAAAATGTAAACAAGTTTGGGTGCATCACTTGGAAGGTCTGTTTTAGGGTGGAATGGAAACTTTCTATGTTGTTGTTCGTACGACGGGGTTGTCCGTGAACCGAAAAACATTCTGGTGTTTTCCTAGCAATCCAAAAGCTACTTGGAATAAAAAAATGTAAGCATTACAGTTAATTATTTTTTTTTATAAATTATAGAAGTGTTATACCTGGCAAAATATGTAAAGAATCTAGACAATTGTATTTGGTGATCTTGAGCATATGTCTTAATGTCTTGAAAACCTCTTTCAATCAAATTATGTGGTAATAACGCCAATGCTGCAGTCATTTTCACAAACATTTTAGCTGCTAAGTTTTCTTTCACATAGTTAGTGTAGCCCAATTTTTTCACATTTTTTTTCAAGCTCTATAAATATTTTTTCGCAATTTAATAGGAGGTAATACTTCATTAATTTACATATACTATTCGGGTACCTCACTAAAAAAATCAAAATATAAAAATATATTCTAGGAGTCTAACTGTATAAAGAAAGATTGTTTGTGTCTACTTAAGTTACTTATAATTATAATAAATTAAATAATGTTATTCCATGCAATATTACATTGTATTGTGTATTTTATTTTCAATTTATGTTGTATGTAGTAATCTTGCAATGACATTTTTTAATTGTAATAATACATATAAAGACTTATTAACTAGTAAAATGTTATTTGTTATCAAAATTTGGAAACTTTTTAAAGTTCTATCAATACTTTATACATTATAACATTATAATCAATTAAACTAAGAACTTCAAACCTGAACATAGTGGAACCAACACGATGACACGACAGCTTCTGGATACACATTTAAAAATGAATTTCGTAGGCCAGTTTCATAATCTATCATTACTAATGTTGGCCTCACGTTCGGAAATTTTGTTTTAAATTTCTCCAATACTGCATTGTACGAAGCCTCAGTTTTACTTTGCATCAACACAAAGCAAACAGGAATGGACTAAATTTAAAATTATTTTTAATTTAACAAGTTAAAAATAGTTATTAATTTAACATATTAACTTATATTACATGATTTTGTAGGATTAGATGAATTATAAACAGCTGACGACAATGAGGCATAGAAGGTACCACTTTAAATGTTCCATCTGCATGCATTTCAGTTGCACCTTGATAGACTACAGCATTTATTAAATCTTGACATGCAAACATTATATTGTAATTGTCATTACTATCATTAATCCATCCTTGATATAAAAGAGAGTTGTTACACATGTATCTATAAAAAAAAAACCATTGAAAATAAATATTTTACTATACTTTAGTATTTAATTTAAATCATATTAGTCACAACATATTTGTTTTTTCTAGCTATTTTATTTTTCATACCTGTTATTATTCAGGTCCAGATATTCCCCTAGTTCGAGCACAGTATGTGGTAAAGGTGGAACCATTTGCCTTCGAGCTTGACGCATTGAAGCTTCTGCAGTAGGCCAAGCATAATCCATTGCAGCTTGAGGATTTCTGTAATGTTATTATTTAATATGATTTTAGTAGATAGAACTCCAATGTTCTATCTAAACAACAATAAATAGCAAATGTTAGAATGAGAAGAGAATAATCGCATTCTCAAACATGTATCTTAGGATTGACTAGTCAAATGTTTTGTCAAGGTGCAAATAGCATAGTCACATAGATTAAAAAACTTAAATATTTTTAATTAATATTTAGCAAGTATAATTTACAATTTAAAAAACCAAACATTTCCATGCGTCTAACCAATTTTGTGAAAATTAGTGAATTTGATAAATTCTTTCTTTTGTTTGATTATAAGTTATAATCAAACAAAGTTTTTTTACCCATATATCATCCATGTGACATGTGTAGCACATATGTTAAACAGAGTAGAAGAAAAAGTGACAGAATTATTCCCTGATGTAAACAAATTGATGAACAATGTAAAGAAATCTTTTTTGAAGTCACCTTCTCGTGTTCAACTGTATAAAGAAATACTACCCGGTTTGTCATTGCCACCTGAACCAGTTATTACAAAATTGAGTACATTGATAGAAGCAGTTATATTTAATGCAAATAACTATGAAAGTATTAAAACTCTAAAAGAAAAACTAGATAATGATTTGTCAGCAAGTGTAGAGAGTTGTAAGAAAATGTACAATTTACTTACAGTAAAAAATGAATTAGCATTTATAAAAATTAACTTTTCTGGACTTATTCAGACAATTACAAATTTAGAAGATACTGAGATACCTACTAAATTGACTTTAGTGCAATCACTAGAGATTATAAAAAATATAATTTCAGAACTATCAAATATACAGGGTGAAAAAGGTTAAATTATAAAAACTAAAATATCTCAATTGTATCACAAAAATAAAGGATTTCAAGTATTATCAGTATATATAACTATATAAGTATATCAGGAAACAATGAAATACAGCTTCCAGAAAACTTCAAACCTTGCGCCATCTTGTGCTGTGGCCAATATGAAGTATATAGATATACATCACTGAAATCAGTAGATGTGAGAAGATCGTTTAGTCTTTATAAACATATACATATTATAATATGTACTAGGCAATAAAAGGACAAATATAATGACACCTGAACACATGGAAAAATATATTATTGTTAACTCTTTTTATAAAAACTAAATATTATAAGTTGTATATATTTATCAAATAATTTTTTTATTTATAATGAAATTATGATTTAATACATTTTTATTAAATTTAATTATATATGTATTTTGTTTTATTTCATGTTTATATTTTTAAAATTTACCATTATTTATGTAATGGTTTAAGTTTATGTCTGCAATATAAAAATTAAGTTTACTACCTAATTTAATTGCAATATTATTTAAGGAAGGAATTAAAAAAAATATATAAATGCATACATTTTGAGTAAGAGGATATTTTTGCATATTACAAGGAATAAATAAGAGGTTTTAAAATTTAAAAATTTTTGATGCATAAAATAATACTATTTCAAGCTTTTTGAGTGGATATAAATCTGGACCCTATTTATAACCATGACTTAAACTTGTTAATGATTCTATCATAGTCTACAAAAATAATGGAATATAATTTAATTGAGGATAGTATGGCAAATAGTTTCAACTTTTTAAGTTTGTGGTAGGTATCAAATATCAATGATTGAATAAGCTAAATTTTAATTGTACATTTAGTTGGTATAAGTTACCTAACATTATCAAATAAATGAAAAATGTTATTTATTAAAAAAACAAGTATATATGCCACTGGCGTATATACGAATTATTTTCACTATGGGCCAATTTACCAGTTATCACTAGTCAAGCATAGCACGACTAACATAGCCATAACTATAGATTATTTAGGGAGCTGGGTGGTTATGATTATGACATTTACAGTAGATACAAATAAAAATTGTACCTACAATTAAATTTTATAATTATTATATAGAATTAATTTTTTGATTATTTTTAAAAAATATTGACAGTTATTTATATATTTTAATGTTATCTTACTATGAATTCAACATCAAAGTCAATAAGTCATCAAAGCAAAAGTCCCGACAATCTAAAATTTAATTGTTGATTCCTTAAAAACGTCTAACTAACATAATCATAGTGAAAAACTGTAAACAGTGTAAACATACATGCAATGGTTTAAATGAACCTGCAATTTCACTATGGGCTCTGGCCTAGGGGGCCTCCCCCCTATATACGCCACTGATATATGCTAATTTAAAATTACATAACATTTAATTAAAATTAATGCTGTAAGATTAGGTTTATTAACTAGGTATCCACGTATAATTCATAAATAATTTTTACATTCCCTGCCTATATGGAAGAAAATACCTATGTCACAAACAATACCTACTGTATCGTATGTATCAACTATCAATAATAAGATACCTACTTATCTAGTGAAACAAAAAATTTAAAATGCAAAATATTTTGCCCTTCCCCTTGAGTCTTGACAAATTCCTGCGGACGCCCTTGACTGGCTGCATATGTACTTGGTTGACAAATACGAATTAGGTACGTTATATGCTAACACCGTTGTTAATGAACACATATTTACTGATTTTCATTGCTTCGAAGAATTTAGATGTCAATTAATTTTACCGCAGTTTTTTTCACAATGAAACTCATAAAATCTTTCATACCTACGTACCTACCATAATATGCGCATTGCGCAAATAGGGGGACATTTAGGGCCAAGCCTCCACCAACAATTCTGAAAAACGAACTCTGGCTTTTGGGTCTGGAAAAAAAACGCGAAAATATTTCTAAGTCCATATCACATCTATAATATTATCACTACAGCAATACTCTGCAGTGTTGCCATAATAATAATTTATGTACCACAATAATAATTTTATACTACGTAATAATCACAAAAGTATTCTAAGTTCAAAATAATCAATTTATTCACTCGTTCATTTTCCAAAATATCGCTGCTCAAATTAAGTCCAAAATAATATTTCAAAAGTGTCAACTATAACGACCACCTAGGCTTTTGATTTTTCCATTTTTCCACAGTTTTTCACGGACCCCCTTGGCTTTTGGGTCTGGGAAAAAATGTCGAAATATCGAAAAACGTCTAAGAGGTTTTTTATTCGTATACCGTATTAGAAAAACATCCGGTAGTCCCATTTTTGATTTTTCCATTTTTCCACAGTTTTTCACTGCACACGAAATGTACATTATTTATTTTATTAAATATATCAAACAACTATAATTATTGTTGTATTTAATAAATATATTGTTTATTTTAATTTCTTATATCATATTTTTTTAAATATATAATAATATATTCATTTAATATGATGTAATCATAAGAACTTTAAAATGTGGTGGCCCTAAAAAAGGTACCTCTAGCATTCTGGACAGTGACAATCGTCAGTAGTACGACTTATACCAGCTTAATCATTAAATTACAAATATAATATTAATAGCAATATATACCTAAATACATTGCCACATTGCTCATATCCTCATACCCTCGCCACATATCAGTATACATATAAATGTATCCTGGTGTATATTATATTTTTGCATGATTGGTAGCAGCGTATCTGTTGACGTCGTCTTAATGAAATTATTATTATTAAAACGTTGTAATAAAATACGTTAATAGTACAAGTTACCAGGAACAGACTATCAACTAACCATATACCATATACTAAACCGCTGCGTGATTAGCGCACTCATTTAAAACGGCCCTTTTTAGGGCCCCCACATTTTAAAGTTCTTATGATTATATCATATTAAATAAATATATTATTATATATTTAAAAAAATATGATATAAGAAATTAAAATAAACAATATATTTATTAAATACAACAATAATTATAGTTGTTTGATATATTTAATAAAATAAATAATGTACATTTCGTGTGCAGTGAAAAACTGTGGAAAAATGGAAAAATAAAAAATGTGACTACCGGATGTTTGACCCAAAAGCTATAAGTAGGTCCGTGAAAAGCGGTCGGAAAATGGAAAAATCAAAAATCCGAAAGCCTATGTGATATGGACTTAGAAATATTTTCGCGTTTTATTTCCAGACCCAAAAGCCAGAGTTCAACCGATATTTCCTTTCAATTTTAAGTAGGTACATAAAAAAAAATAATAATAAATATGCACAAATATGCTGAAAACTGCTAAGTTCGCACTTTTCCTAAAATATGGCAAAATAATATGTAAAAATATGCAAATTCAAACCTCGTATTTAATTTTGCCATTTCATAAAACAAATTTATAATTTACCTATAATAATCTACGACTAGTTACTACAAAGAAACATGCAAATGCAAGAAGTCCAGAACCCTATTAATTATCAAATATCAAACAACTTATTATTTAAACACATATATTAATAAATTATATTTATTACCTATAGCATATAGGTACACTGAATATTTTAATTAATATATTGCTAAATACCTATTGTAGGATTTATATTTTATATTAATTTATATTCTTGTGCGTAATTACGGGTTTTCTGGTGATCGGCGTTATCGATCAATGTGAATCGACCGTCGCCCGTATCTAGACTGGTCGAGCGATATTTATATATTATTAATTAATTGTGTGTGTGTGTGTATGCCGATCGGCCAGACGACCTGCGTACAGATATATTGTTCTCTGTTCTCTCAAGCAGTCAGTCTCGAGATACGTGTCGCGATGACCGTTTCTTTGTCAATAAAAATAAATGTAATAAAGGAAAGCATATTTTTGGTTAATTATTATGAATAGTCTACGTTTTATACGAACCCCTCTTACAGTTTTCAGAAGTGGGATTAGGGATCGCACGTGTAATAATTTTTTTTTTTTATGAATGTTAATGTTAATTTAAATGCTTAATTAGTAATTTTGAAAGTATAATAAGTTGATTTAATAAATACGGGAAATGTCGAATACCAATAATTCCGTCGGTATGACTACTCGTGCTCGCGCGAATGAAATTAAGAATGATGGTGAACAGAACGAAAGAAATTTGAATGTCATGGGTATTGCACAACAGAACGAAAACGCACAAAGTGTTGTGGTACTAACTGAGGAAAATTCGAAGCACAATGTATTCGCCAATGGAAAGACACTAGGTGAACAAAATAATTCGACAAAAACCTCGCAAAATGGATCGAACGTCGAGAGCGTGAATGCAGTCGATACGAACGCTATGCTCAATACGCTGATGGTGCAAAATAATATGCTCATGGAGTTACTAAAATTGCAACAAAATAAACCACTCAACGACATAACCATTGCTCCGGATTTAAATAAGTCGATACCGGCCAATATATTTATTTATCAGTCTTGTAAAGTATTTAAGTAAATTTATTTATAAATGCTTTCATAGTATTTAGAATACTTATTAATTAATTTTGCATTTGTCCAAATTCTTTTCAAAATTCAAACGAATTATTCGTTCGCCGTCACACATTTATTTTGAAAGATTTTCTATTGTATTTGTATTATTTTTTCACTCATAACTGGTACAAAAATATCTTATAATACCTTCCTTGTTGAATGTAACATTACAATTTTAAATTATGTAAATATATGCAAATATTAATATATTAGTAAATACATTTTTTGTTTACTGGGGCCCCTAATCTAACCTGGTGGTGGGGTGGCATGTTGCACCTATCCTGAAATTCCTAAATACGCCACTGAATAACAGGTCACATGCAGACCACTTAAGAGGACGTGTCACCCAAAAAAATCACTCGAAAAATTCACTCGAGGAAATTATCATGTATCTACAGTTATTCGTTTTTGAATTACAACAAAATAAGGAAATCGCTACATGAGAAATCGAGAAAATATCCAATGTTGTAAAAATTTGAATTTCAAACGCTCATAAAAATTTAATTTGACTTTCCGGTAGAGATTTTTTATTGATAAAGGTAGACAAACTTATGAGTAAACTTGGGAACAAGTCTAGTTTACCGGGCACATTTTTTTTTGAAATTTTTTTTTTTGAAAAGGGTTGTTTTGACGAGTTAAGAACGATGGTGCAAAAATAAAATTGCGGAAATGATTATTTTGGAAGTTATAGCTTCCCAAAGTTAACGATTTTACGTTTATACGCGTGCGCGCAACACTACTATAATGCCGCGCGGAGGATCTCGAGTTTGGCGACCGGAGGACTTTTTTAATTGTTTTTATTGTGATGGCATACCGCATACCCAATTAAATAACTATATTACTATTCCTATTATAATTATATTATTAATTACCTATATCTATTATAGATAACCAAATTACCTATAGTTAATTACCTACAGTAAGCAGGGCTGCAGTGATTACACAGTTTGCGACACTCGTCGCTACGCTCCTCGGCGCCGTCGCTCCGCTCCGCAAATCGAAAATATCCCCCGATTTGTTGTGTAAAACCACCTCAGGTGAACCTCGGTTTTCCTCAAAAATTCCCGGAAACTTATCGTTCAAAAGTTATGGAAGTTCCAAGTTGCAGTGATTACGCGTGTATCGGCACTCGTCGCTGCGCTCCTCGGCGCCGTCGCTCCGCTCCGCAAATCGAAAATATCCCCCGACTTGCTATGCAACACCACTTCAAGTAGTTCACAGGGTAATTAGTAATTACTAATTGTTGTATCAGTTATCATAAAAGATAAAAACAATTAAAAAAGTCCTCCGGTCGCCAAACTCGAGGTCCTCCGCGCGGCATTATAGTAGTGTTGCGCGCACGCGTATAAACGTAAAATCGTTAACTTTGGGAAGCTATAACTTCCAAAATAATCATTTCCGCAATTTTATTTTTGCACCATCGTTCTTAACTCGTCAAAACAACCCTTTTCAAAAAAAAAAATTTCAAAAAAAAAAGGTGCCCGGTAAACTAGACTTATACCTAAACTTGTATTACATTTTCAAATCTTAGATTTAAAAATAAAATTTTACGAATTTTTAACTCAAAATAATTTTCTAATTTTCGTGATTTTTCCATATTTTGTCAATTTTTGAACTTTAAATGCTTATAATAAAATAAAATTGTGACTAAGGATTTTTAATATTTTTCATCTGCCTTTGAAACAATATACTAGGAGCCTTGGTAATTTTCAAGCTTTTTTAACCAACAAATAAAATTTTATTGATATTTCTAGAAAAAAAACTAAAAAAAAAATGGAAAATGAAAATGTCCCTAAACAGTTCAAAATAAATCAAAATATTTTGAAAATGTTATCGTGTATAGAAAATGCAAATATAAACAACCAGTGAAAATTTCATGTACCTACGGTCATTTTTTTTTAAGTTACACCAAAAACCAAATTCAATTTTGTAAAAAATCGATTTTGCGTAAAAATTCCCGTTTTTCCTTAATTTTTCTTTGGTTTTTCTAGGCGCTTTTGAAAATTACTGAGCATTTTAAATTTTGACCTCCCCAATGCACCAACGATATTCACTTTCCAATTGAACAAGATACTGTAGTTGAAAATCGAAGCATTATTTCTACTACTTATCGTGTACACAGACACAAAAAAAAAACCGGTCAAGTGCGAGTTGGACTCGCGCACCGAGGGTCCGTACAAACCTGTAGGTATATAAGTAAAAGTTCAACCAACACGACAATCGAGTCATAGTTATGGCTGTTAACCGGTTAGTTAAGTATTTAATATGAATTTTAATTTAATACCTCAACGCGTTCATTAGATAAGAAGTAATAACTTTGAAATTTTCAAAATTGTCAAAAATATTTTATTTTTATATGATGAAACTAAAAATGTATGGTTTTCGTAATTTTTCCTATATCTGTACTATAAGACGTGACTTCGTACGAAATTTCAAGATTCTAAGTTCACTTGAAGTACCCTGTAGGTTTTGATTCCCGTGCGAGTTTCGGAAATTTGCGGCCTAAATGGCTGTATCTTTTGATTGCGTTGGCTTAGAAGGTTGTTTTTTCTACAGCTTCCAGGGACAGTAGACCTGAGTATCATATAGAAATTTCAGTTTGATACCTCCACGCGTTCCTGAGAAAAACGGTCTTGGCAGACGGACGGACGGACAACAAAGTGATCCTAATAAGGGTTCCGGTTTTTTCTTTTGAGGTACGGAACCCTAAAAAAAGAAAAAAAGAAAACTATAAATTATATTATACTTGTTGAACTAATATTAATCTTTCTCATGGTTAAATAATAGGAACTTGTTGCTCGTTACCCTTTTATTATATTAATATAGGTAATATGATTATAATTTTTTTTTTTAAATGTGGTGATAAATAATATAGGTCACATACTAAATCTATTGAATGATTTTATGCATTTGATAAACTGTAATTCATTGGATTGTGTAATACTTATAATATAGTAGTTTGTTTAGTAGGTAATTTTAAACAAACAGTTACTTATAGAAATAATTTTTTGATAAATTTATGTTACAATTTGTTATCATTATATTATACAACTATACATTTTAAATTAGTTATTTTTCTCAGTGAATGTACCCGATCTCTAAAAATTACAGAATGATAAATAAAGATTTTAGAGTATTATTATTATCATTACGAGTAGATTACCTATAATTATTATATTACTATATTAGGTATACATTATAGGTATACCCAGTGGCGTACGCATGGGTAGGGTTCTAGGGTTCTGACCCCCCCTGAAATTTCTTCCGTTGACAAAAAAATAAAACCATTTAAATACACAAAGTCGATCAATTGTTGGTCTTTTTTAATAGATATAATATAAATTGTTAAATATGACAAAGACGTCGATAATCATAGTTTCAGTTTTTTGGCTGATTTAGAACATTGCTAAACATCTGTCATAACCGTTGTATGGTGTATCATCATGTATCACCGTCCATCGATAATTACCACATACTACGACCCGAAGAGGCTCTATAGATGACCATAGGTGTCAAGATTGAACACTCGAGTGTTCTTAATGTAGACTACATCTGAGACTAATTATAATTTGTTATAACCAATTACATAAAAACTATTTAGAAAAAAAATAATGTAAATTATTTACTCAGGTGAAACCCTAACCGAACTAAAATCCTGCGTACGCTACTGGGTATACCTACTACAAACATATTATTAATTTAAATAAATATTTGTAATTACTTATTATCATATTTTAATATAACATTAACAGTTGAACTTAAAAAATAATACACGGTAAAATAATATTAATTTAATTGCGCTGTGTTTATTTTATTTTCCATTTATTAGATTTTACTATAAGTATTATATTTAAATAAGTAATAATTCAATAACTTCAAATCAAGCTATGTTATAATACAGTTTCTACGATCTATATGTTGGGACATAAATTTAAGTAAACAGTATCTTAATTTATAATCTGTAGTTCGTAGGTACGCAAGGGTATTGAAAATATTACGGCGGCATTTGCATATAATGAATTTTATAATGATACGAATGGTACTGGACGAACGTTCATAGACAAATAAACGGCGCTCCCGAAGTCCCGAACGAGCACTCGTCGCCACCGTCGGCCGGTTGCGAATAGTAGGCGTGACTTAAAGCGGCGTGCTTGCGGATCGTGAAAACACCTAACAGCGCATCCTCTCGGTCGTTGTATGCGTACACGTTTGGGTGACACTTTTAATTTGCCACCATAATATAGCATGTCTAATGAGTAAAGTTTCAATTCAGTGTCCACTAGAGATCACTGTTGCGATATCACCCTAAAAATAATTTTCGACAAAAATACTGTTCTAACATAATATTTTTCGACAAAAATACTGTTCTAACATAATATTTTTCGGATTGAATTTTTTCGTGTAGTATAATTTTGATTAAATATTTTTTGGAAGAAATATTTTCTTGTATTTTATTTTCGGACGTTATATTTTTCGGCAAAAATACTGTTCGGATAAAATATGTTTCGGCAAAAATACTGTTCTGTTAAAATACATTTCTTATGATATATTATTTGGAAAAAATATTTTTTGGCTAAAATACTGTTCGGACACAATATTTTCAGATATTTTATGCGCTCTCAATATCACTTAGTAGGTTAAGTCACTCAATTGCACACCGGGTTGTGCAATTGAGTAGGACCTGTTAGGTATAAAATATATTTCACCATTAATTATTAAGATATTTTTTTATTTGGGATTATCGAATCAAATAAGAATTCGTTAAAAAATACACAGGTTACCGCCATTGATTAGTGCTACTATAATAAAATTATATTTCTATTATAATCGAAATCAGGTGTACCTATATTATCATAATAGGAATACATTATAATTTACGGCTTAAATTGAGAAGTATGTAATAAGTAGGGCTCGGAAGTTGAGGTATTTTGCATTTTTTTTTGGAACTTTTAAGACGATGCTCTC